AGGGGGGGGAGAGGGTGTTGAAACATTAACGTTTGGCAGAGAACGGAAATACGTCATTTGTTTAGAAAAGATCCAGGGCTGAATCAAAAATAGAACATACTCAAAACCAAATACATTGTAAATGAACAATATCCTGAACGGAGATTAAATTCCTTGTTGCTCCCTTAGTCAGCTTGTTGAAGTCTGTAAAGGGTACGATTTGTGTTACCGCCTGCGAGGTGTAAAACTTTGCCTTTTTGCCCTGAATGCGAACGACGTGAATTCGACTCGCGCATTAAAAATGTGTTTGGTCGAGCGAAAGCGGCTTCTGTCATGAGAGGCAGAATCAACTCAGACCATCTCAGGGACCATAAAATAGCAACAATATTTTACAATTAACAGTTTCGTCTCAGCTGTTGAGATGTTTTGGCGTTCTGTCTAAATGGAAATGGTTCTTGCCTTTCTCCTGGTCCCACTGTTTTCTAGGGGGCTGAGGGTGCCATGGGCGACAGGTGCCTCCTTGGTCCTCCATCGATGCTGTGAAAGCGCTGTCCTCATCATCTTCCCCCGCCAACTTACACGTTTTGATCAGTTTAGACATGTAGTGGTCCAATTCCGCGGAACAGGCGTCAAAATCAGAGAATCTTCCAGAATCTATACTGCCACTGTGCACGCTAGCTTTGTCCACAGGCTCTGTGTACGCAGGGGAAGAAGGATGATTGAGGTAGAGAGTACGGCTGCTTGCCGAGTCACGTGACGCCGTGACGTCATGAAGAATAATGGCGTTCCCGTCGGGGTCGTGAACCACGTAGTGATGGCGGTTGAGGGAAGTGACGTCGGTGTGGAGAACGGCTCGTAGAGCGGTCATATTGTGGGTCGGAAAAGTGAGGTAAGCGTTGGTGAGGGAGTACGGGTTCACGTGAGGGCAGTGTTTGAGAGCCAGTTCGTAGGACGTGGAGGTTGTAGTGGCTCCCCTTGAGTCCGCTGGCGAGGAATGTTCTAGATTTAGAGGAAATAGGCAGAATCCTTGCTTACTGCTCTCCATCTCGGTACCCGTGACAAGTCGGTAGAACTCCACCATAGGGGCGTAGCGGCGGACGAAAATGTTTATCCGGATTTTGCAAGTGTCGTGCACTGACGGACAGACGCTCCACATCGGAAGTTGTCGCGACAGGAAATAGAACTCTTGTTTCCCGACGACACAGGAAGACTGGGCGCGCTGCAACTGGATCGTGTGGTGGTGTCGCCAGGGCGGCTTCTGTAACTTCCGGTGAAGCTCTTCGTGGCTTTGCCTACCAAACTCTGGTAAGAATATCATGACAGCCAGCGATGGTGAGCTGATCTCCCCGCCTACCACGGTGTATTTCGGCGCGGGTGGTTCGTGTGTGGAGGAAGGATGTAGCGACTCGGGCGGTTCTACGACCATCAACACATCACCCAAGCCTGCCACTCTCTTACACAGCGGCCTCAGTATACGACACATATCTCCTTGTCTTCCGCTTGGAGCGACGATGTGAAGACACACGCCGAGTCGTCCCCCGCCCGACCTCTGGTCTGTGACGTGGTCCCGTGACCTTTGTATAGGACTGTGACCTGTGGTCTTACAGCGATGGATCTGAAAATCTTCCTTGCTTTTACAACAGGCTGAATTTACAATCCTCGTGGAGCCGACATGTAAACAAATATCGTTGCCATGACGATAGGCGCATCCCTCCCTAGGGCGCTCCGGGGGTCGATGGAGAGTTGTCCTCCCTTCAGCCATGCTGACAAACTTGTGTACACGTCATGGCGGGAACTTCTCCTGGAGACTAGCGGTGGGCGGGGTGTCCGTGCACATTCACGATATCTACAGATAATTTCTAGAGAATCGTCCAGATTCACGCTATGGGCAGAAGATGACTGGCGGGTTGTCCGTGCACATTCGTATTATCTACATATGACTTCTGGAGAATTCTCCAGATTCTCGCTATCTGCACAAGATGACTGGTGGAATGACACTAAACGTTCGTGTTATCTGCTGTAGACGACAGAAGGGATGTCAGTGTACGGTTGTGTTATCTTCTCTTCTGAAAGCAGTAGGCGGAACGAGAGTGTACATTTCCACTATCTACAGTTGACGACTGACGATATGTATGTGCACTTTTGTATCATCTATAGTAGGTGCAAACAAGACGGGATGTCAATGTATACACGTGTGCTACCTACTGCAGTTCAGTCGTGAGAGACAGTAGAAGATCTCAGAGTTAGTACTTCCTCATAATGACACCTTCGTGTGTAGAGCTTGCAGTGACTTGTTCTAAGTATGGGCTTGAATGGCCTGAAATAAAGAAGAGAGGAATCACAAACGTTAAAAGAGTATAGACCTTGACAGCACTTTAAAAGATACTCTAAAATTGTGAGCTCCCCGGTAATCTTTTAAATAATTTCTTGAAGAAGTATGCAATATAGTGTGAGACACAGTGACATTATCAATCGCTCTTTCATTGACAACAATATTGTTATAGATTGTACCTACTTGTTTACTCATTCAATCATCTTTGGAACACTTCCGTCCGTATGACTCCCCTTTACAGAGTACGTCTTGAACAAGGTTTTGAGTCCGTGGATGTTTTTTGTGTAGCAAAAATGATAGTATCATTTCCACGTTGTCGACTAAGTAAACATAGGCCAACGTGTTCAAACTGAATGAACGTACGCTGAAGTGTGGAAACAAAGTGAACGTACGTCAATGTATTGAAAGAGTAAGAAATAGCAATCACTGTGACGCCTTCGTGGAGATCGATACCACACGAAAAGTAAACAGAAGGACAAAGCTGATGTGTCCGTGATCTGTCCAAGTGTCGTCTGGCGTCACTGATTGCCTGCAAAATGGCTTCTGGTTACATCCTTGCTGCACAAATTAAGAAGCAATTAATCATTCCAACACATAAATGCATGAACGCTAATCATCGAGCTTTTAGCAAGTCATTGATCTGCAGTGAAGAAATCAAACGTTTCATTGCGTTCACAAACCGACCGTGAACCAGACAGCCACATTCCCAGACCCCCCACACACAAGCACATGCGGACTGCTACCCCTTTTCTCTCTGTGGACTCTAAACTGTACGGCGTACTTTTTTTTATGAACTCGGGGGTGGGTGTTGCTTTGCTTTGTTTTTTATCAGTCTTGCTTTTAACCGACTCTAAACTACCGCAATCGTGACGTTGTGCTTCTCTCTCCAACTGCAGTGTAAATGTTACAACAACATACATGGTTAAAGGGGCGCCACTGACTTGTCCCACATTTCAGCTGACCATCTGTCTTTTCTGTCTGCTTTGTCTTTTTCTAGAGCACTAAAAGAGTGGTAATGGAGATGCTAGTGCTTTTAGAGTACCGCTGGTGGTTTTAGGGCTCCATTGGTGGTTATAAGGTACCGCTGGTAGTTCTTACATTTCTTCCTACCCTTTCATTTAACTGTCTGTCTCGCTTTTCCCAAGCACTTGGGAACAGCTGTGACAACAACGTGCCTGTCTTAGCACTGTGCGTTCCACAAATGAAATCTATACGAGTACTATTTACATACAAGCAAAATACCTTTAAGCATTTCAATTATAGTATTATGTTTCAACTTGCTGTAATGTCAGTACCCTGTAATAGGAATAAAATGTCTTTTCTGGTATCGTGTGTTTCTGTTTTGACAAGAGAAAGTCGTTTGCATATATATCTTATGTTAGCGCAATGATTTTAATTTTTCTGACTGGGTTATTGTCTGAATGTGGGTATGGTCTTGCATGTGCGCTTGTGAGTATGTGTGTGCGTGCGTATGTGTTTGTTTGTTTGTTTGTGTGTGTGTTTGTGTGTATAAGAGAGAGAGAAAGAGAGAGAGAGAGAGAGAGAGAGAATGTGTATGAGTCTGTGTGTGTGTTTGTGTGTGTATATATATGTGTGTGTGTGTGTGTGTGTGTG